GCACAGTTTGATTTTATAGACAAGGACTGCAAACGCTTTTTTGGTGGTGGGTTGCTCAATTGTCTGACGAAGATTGGTGGTTTTGCGCGCGAATATCGTGCGTTGAACAACGATGAGGCTAAATCCCGTGCTTTGCTGGGAATGTTAATGTCACTCCAACACAATGGCTAGGACAATTAAATGTATATTCATCAATGTGAATTCGGTCGTCTCGAGACACAAGAGACACTATTTGGGACTGTTTTTGGACAGACATAAACCGGACATATTGCTTATGGCGGAACACGGACTTAGTCCTCGTCATAAGCTGGACATGAGAGGATACTTGACATTCAGACAGAACCGACAGAATGGACGAGGAGGGACAGCTATACTCGTTAGGGACAGTCTTTCGTGCGAGAGAATTTTAATAGATACTGGGAGGATTGAGAACACTACAGTACGCATTCACAGGGTGAGTGGTGGTGCCTTAACTGTGGTGTCTTTATACCGTAGACCGCAGGACTCACTGCTAGCTAGAGATCTTAACTCGATCGTGGAGCTTTCGAATGATGGTGGCGTGGTGATCGGAGGTGATCTAAATGCCAGACACTCATTCTGGGGTGATACGGTCACAGACTCTAGTGGTAGAGTTCTGCGTGATCTACTGCTGAATAGCCCTAATCTGCAAATACATCCAACTGATGGCGCCACGAGGATCACTGCTCACTCTTCCTCGCACATTGACGTTATTATGACTTCTGTGGACATGGTTCCACTATTGACAGGTGATGGACTCAGAACGCTCGACTACGAATCGGACCATAGGGCGGTGGAAGCCATATTTGGCATAGATGACTGTGTTGGACGTATTAGACCAACTAGATTTGACTTTGACAGAATGAACCGTGTACGTTTTAATACCATACTATCTGAACGATTGACGGAATGTTCTCTACCAGTGGACAGAAATGTGACTGAGGGTGAAATTGACGAATGTATTGAATCTATGAGTCAGGCCTTTAGAAGTGCAATGGACGCATCTATACCAAAGATCCCAGTGGGTAGAAGGGGACTTATTCAACTTCCGCCAAATATCTTGCACTTCATTGCTGAGAAAAAGAGACTGCGTCGTCTGGCACATAGATGTGAAGACCCAATACGCTGTGCTATCGTAAAGGCTGACATTAGGAACCTGGACAGAATAATACAAGGCGCAATTGCCGTACATGAACGTGAACACTGGACGAAATTCTTGAGTAACATAAAACTAAACAACAGAACGTACAGGACAGTTAAGACAGCTGCCGGACTTAATCGACATGTAGGGGTACATGATTTGGTTGATATGGAAGGCTCATTAGTTTCTGATGATGTAGGAAAAGCTGCCATCCTGGCAGAACACTTCTCTCACGTACAATATGGACAAGACTCAACTAATGATCCATTTTCCGAGACTGTTAGGGACAGAGTATCTACACTACGTAACAGAACACCTCTGAATACTTTTGGTAACGATATTACTGCGGACGGAGTGGACTCAAATCGACAGGGCCTGATTACGGCCGGGATGATTGGGGCTTACTTGAAAAGGCGTCATCGGGTCCCCGGGCGAGGATAGTTAACAATCACGTTAATGAATATCTGGCGATATTGGCACCATATTTCGCGAAATGGCGTTTGCGACTGAATATGGATAAGACAGTGGCTGTGATGATTAAGGGGAAGCGTAAGTTCTTGTACCCCAATAGCAGGTCTTTCATTCCATCCATATGGATTGGTGATGAGTGTGTTAGGGTGTCTGACAGGTTTAGATATCTGGGTGTGATCTTTCATGAGAATTTTGAATTCTACAGGCACGTGGACTATATTTTGCAATCCACCAAGCGTACCTACGCGATGTATAGGGGTATCCTCGGACGTCAGGGGCTAAATAGGCAAATAGGACTTCTGCTCTATCGCCAGATAATTCGACCACTTATGTCCTACGCCTTTCCAATCTGGTCCAGAATTTCATCTGCCCAGATGGAGAGGCTTAGGATATGGGAAAGAAGGATTCTGGTAGCATGCTTGGGTCTAAGGCGTAAGCTCGGACCTGATGGCATCTACCGGCGTCCATCATGTAGGTCGATTTATAGGGCGATAGATTTCCAGAGAATTGACGCCTTTATGATCGATAGGGGAATCAGATTTCTGGAAGGAGCTCGTTGTCTACAGAACAATTTAGTTAGGGAATGTTTTGTAAGGTCGGGTGATCTGGAGACTGTCTTGGCATCACATTACCTGTCCCCGACCGACCTTCTGATTTTGAGTGAGTCTGATCTTCTCTATGAGGGTGCAAATCTCTTGTTCTATCACAGGAGGATAAATACCTTTGATATACGTAACGTGGTTTACAACACCGCTCAGTAGGCCATAGGCCAATCTTTTGTGAATATTTCCTTCTTTTGTACATATTCTACTATATCTTTTGTAAATAATTTTTCATTCTTATATTAGTTTTAAGTTTAGTTTTAAGTAAATTGAATGCCTCCTTTTTTTACCTTTTTTTATGGAATTTTTTACGAAGAGTGATACATTAAATGTAACTTATATAAATTTATTATAATATGGTAAATGCTATATATATGTAATTAGTGCTATTTGATAAGTTCTTGCAAAGCACACAGTGCGCGAGGAAAAAATATTTAAATGGATAGTTAGTTTTAAGTCGACATATGTAATTTGATTTTTTTTTGGATATTAATAAATGAAATGAATAATAAAAGGCGAAAATTATTAGTTCTTGTGAATCTTTTGTGAAGTGTGTTTAAAAGTGAAAAAATAAAATAAAGTAAAAATGACTGGTCGTGGTAAAGGTGGTAAAGGCTTGGGAAAAGGTGGCGCTAAACGTCATCGTAAAGTGTTGCGTGATAACATCCAAGGTATTACCAAGCCAGCTATTAGACGTTTGGCTCGTCGTGGTGGTGTAAAACGTATTTCTGGTTTGATTTACGAAGAAACCCGTGGTGTCTTGAAGGTGTTTTTGGAAAATGTCATCCGTGATGCCGTCACCTATACTGAACATGCCAAGAGGAAAACCGTCACCGCTATGGATGTTGTCTATGCTTTGAAGAGACAAGGTCGCACTTTGTACGGTTTCGGCGGTTAAATAATCGAGAAGAATATTTGTGTAAAAGTAGTCAACAACATCGACAATATTCAATATTTTTCATCAAACAACAGCAACAAAACAATCGGTCCTTTTCAGGACCACGAAATGAAATTTAAAAAGAGATAGTGCATTTTTGAATCAAAAATTTACTACCATAGGTTAAAAATTTTTTTTTTTTAATTTAAATATATGTGTATTAAAAAAAAAAAGGTAAACAAACCATTTTTAGTTTTTTTTTTTTTTTTGAATTTTCGATTTTTTTAATATTTTTTCATAATTTCATTTATTTACAAACAAAATCATCATTATGAATTGTTTACTTATTAAAATTACCAAAAGAAAACATTTTTCTAGTCAAACTGTACGCATATGAAAAATATAAACAAACAAGAAACCAGTTTCATATAAAAAAACAAACAAATTCTAGGTAAAGTCTCTACTGTGTATTAACAAGAGAACAACGAAAACAAGAATATGTGAGAGTAGTCACAATGCAAAGGCATTCGTATAGTGGTTTGTTTATGCATGCTTGTTTATTTCTTCTACTGTGTGTATTTTTGTTTATTTATTCATAAAAATTGATTTCAAAGAAAATCATTAGGAATGTTGGGAAAAATTTTATATTTGTTATATTTTGAATGAAAATATTAGTTTATATTAATTATTTTTCCGAAATATGAGAATAAAAAAGGAACATCTACTAAAAAATGATTATTAAAAGAAAAAATTATAAAATGCCGTCGGCAAAACACTTTTTCAACTAAAAATGCTTATAAAAAATTTTCTAAAGAAAAAAAGTAATTCTAAAAATGCGTATAAAAGGAAAAAATTATCAAATGCCGTCGGCAAAACACTTTTTCATTTTTTTTGTCAAAAAAAAGTATATTTTTTAGATTTTTAGTAGACATTCATATAATGAAAGAGTGTTTTGCCGACGGAATTTGAAAATTAGAAAATTTTTTTCTTTTTTTTTAGCAAAAAATTATTTTTTTGTTCTAAAATTTCTAAAAAATGTTTTAAATAGAAGAAAATACTTAATAAAGTAAAATATTGTTAATATTAGTTGATAGAAAATGAAAATATGCAATGTTTAAAGTTGAAATGAAAAAATAACTTTTCAGTCTAACTGTACGCAACAACAATATACAAAAAATTATCAACGCATACAGAATAAAGAAGAAGCAAGCCAGTTTTTACTTAAAACGATCACATACTGACAAACACAAACAAATTCTATGTAGAAAAAAAAAATACTTCGTGGGAATCTCGACTGTAAGATTATTCAGTATATCAGCTTAATGTGTTTGTTGTTGGTTTTTTTTGAACTAAAGCAAAAAATGTTAAGGAATTTCTATAGTTGTGTGTGTTTTTTTAGTTTCTTAGTTTTTATGTATATCGTTGTTTTTGTTTGTAGAAAAAAGCAGATGGTTGAAATGTAAAGGCATTTGTATAGTTGTGTGAGTGTTTTTTTTTTTTAGTTTGTTGTTTATACAGTGGTTTTTGTTTTTGTAAAATCACAAGAAATTCTTATTTGAGGAAGTTTGTTGAAATGTAAAGGCATAGTATGTATGTGTATAGTTGTGTATGTGTTTTTCTTTAGTTTGTTGGATTTTATGTATACCATAGTTTTTGTTGTGTATAAAAAATAAGACGAGGGATGATTATGAAGAATTAAAACGAGGGATGATTATGTGAGGCAGATGTTTGTTTTAAATACATATTTAATTGAAAATAAGCAAAACGGATGCCTTTTACTGATAAAAAGACAATACAATTTGATTTTAAACTTGTAAATTTTCGAAAATTCTTATTATTTTGTTAAGTTTTAAGTTAGTTTTGAAAAAATTTTACTCATTTTTGAAATAAATTTGTCGTCCTGAAAAGGACGGTTGGTTTTCTTCTAAATACGATGGTCTGTATAGTATTTTTACATTTTCTTGTTGTCGTTGTGTAAAATAATTTAGGCCTTCTTTTCTGTTTTCTTTGGCAAAAGTACAGCTTGAATGTTGGGCAAAACACCACCTTGAGCAATGGTTACGCCAGACAATAATTTGTTCAATTCTTCGTCATTACGGATGGCCAATTGCAAATGACGGGGAATAATTCTGGTCTTTTTGTTGTCACGAGCAGCATTACCAGCCAATTCAAGAACTTCAGCAGCCAAATATTCCATAACGGCAGCTAAATATACGGGAGCACCGGCACCAACACGTTCGGCATAATTGCCTTTACGCAACAAACGATGGATACGACCGACGGGGAATTGCAAACCAGCACGATTTGAACGGGACTTTGCCTTTCCCTTAACTTTGCCACCTTTACCACGACCAGACATTTTTCACTTTTTAGTTATTATTTAAAACACTTCACTAGAGCACTGTAAACACAAACTGATAAAATATTTTTTTGTTACCATGGGTATTTATACTTTTTTTCTGAGAAGAACACACACACAATGGGGTGGTTTGTGTAGATACATTTTGTAGATACAATTGTATTTGTTGGATTCCAAAAAGGTATATAATGCGCACACATCAAGAAAAAAACTCAAATCACAGAAATTGTGTGCCATTCATGCAAAACGTGTATAGATTATCACAATACATCATAGTTTGTGTTTAACAGTGCTCGAGTGAAGTGTTTTAAATAATAACTAAAAAGTGACTTGTAATTAGAAAGTGTAAAAGCGAAAAAAATTTTTTCGACATATAAGCTTAAAAGAAAATTTGTGAAGCGAGCCGAATATAGTAGGCATTGAATATATTTCAATTGTGAAAGTGGTGCATTGAATTTTTGAGAAGAAATAGTAGGCAGCCTGCCTTATTTGCTATTATAAGCTCATTTGATTTATTGAGAAGCCCATAGAAGGCAACGAATTTGAACTTTTTGAGAACGGGAATATATTTTGGTAAAAGTCGATTATTCTGCTATGCAGATAGACATTACTGAATATGGCTGAGGATGGTAAAATATATCCTAGTAAGCGGCAAAGGGTGGATTCTGATGAAGAATACCAACAAATTATCAACTCTAAAGATAGAGTTATTGATGAACTTCGTTCGGAAGTTGATACTTTGAAGAAGAGGCTGGATGAAATTATAAATGCAAGACATGGCTCATCCTTAATGAATACGCTTGTGAGTGATGACGAACTGGAAGCTATGAAACCAGTTCCCAGCAAGAAGAACGGTAAGAAGCAGAAAAAGAAGAAGAAGAACAAGTCCCATGCTGCTGGGGCAATTGTTTTGGGCCAAGCTAAAGCCGGAGCTGGCATTGAAGGTGGTGCTGATCATGATGGTGATCTCCCAGATGACATCTCCGATATGTCTACTATTGAAAGTATTCCTGTTCCTGATGGTAAGCCTGCAGCTAACATGACTGAAGTCCCTGGTTGCTCTGGAGCTATGCAGAAGAAGACGGAGAAAAGTAAGTCGATAAAAGTACCAGTTGTAACAACATACAATATTAATGTTAAGTATATGTCTGAGATTATTAATAGTACCTTAGGACATACTAATTATAATATGAAGATTTTGGGCAAAAATGCCACGAACATAGGGGTTTGCACCCTCGCGGATTTTGATAGGCTGAAGGCTCTACTCAGGGACCACGGGGTCAATTATTATACTTACACACCAAAGGGACAAAGGCCTCTGTCGGTTGTTATAGAGGGACTTTCTGGCACTTACGGCCATGATGATGTAATGGGATACCTGGAGGGCTTGCATATTAGGAACTCTATACTAGGTCTAGTTAAGCTTAATGGGGATAGGTGGCTTCTACGCCTTTCGCGGGATACAGATGTGGCGGCATTTTGTGATGTCCGTTACATATTACGTTGCCGTGTGAACATACGGAAGTATAGGAGGGGGGCTATTACCCAATGTTTTAATTGCCAACGCTTTGGCCATGTATCTACGAATTGCCAGATGCCATATAGATGTGTCAAATGTGGCGAATCTCATGGTCCTGGTAATTGCGAGATACCTGCAAAGGACGATAATACCGGGGAAACAGTGGCGACAGACCCAGTTACTGGACAGGCCGTTAGAAGAGTAGGACTTCCGGTGAAGTGTGTAAATTGCGGTGTTGAGGGACACGTGGCCAGTTCCAGGGAATGTCCCCGTAGGATTGAACTGCTGCGAAAGGTGCAGGATAGGAGGACCACTCGAGGGGGTAATGGACAACAGCGTCAGGGTAATGTACAATTACGTCAGTCTGCTGGGAAGGTTAAACCTGGTATGTCATATGCATCGGCTGTGACATCCAATGTGCCTAGGGTTTCTTCGGTGACTTTTACTGGAGCAGCCTCGGCTGTTCATGAACCGACTGTTGCGAACTCACTTTCGCAATTTGATCTTGTGGATAAGGACTGCAGACGCTTCTTTGGTGGGGGTTTGCTTCAGTGCATCGGCAAAATTGGGGGCTTTGCTCGCGAATATCGTGGGCTGAAGGACGACGAAAGCAAATCTAGGGCTCTTTTGGGCATGTTAATGATGCTACAGAACAATGGCTAGGTCGTTAAAATGTATATTTATAAATGTTAATAGGGTTGTTTCCCGACACAGAAGACACTACCTGAGACTATTCTTGGACAAACATAGACCCGACGTTTTGCTTGTGGCTGAACATGGACTTAGTCCTTGCCATAAGCTAGACATTGACGGTTACTTAATTTTCAGACAGAATCGACAATCTGGACGTGGGGGAGGTACTGCTATCCTGGTCAGGAATACTCTTTCTTGTGAAAGGGTGCTCATTGATACAGGTACAATTGAGAACACTGCAGTTCGAATTCGTAGGGTGAATGGTCATCCTTTGATTGCTATTTCATTATACCGTAGACCACAGGACACAATGTCTGCTGTGGAACTGGGACCGGTGATCGATCTCGTCAGTGAAGGTGGTGTGGTAATTGGGGCTGACCTGAATGCCAGACACCCACACTGGGGGGACACGGTCACCAGTTGTAGTGGTAGAGTTCTATATGATCTTCTTCTTGCGAATCCTGAATTGCATATTCAACCGACTGATGGACCAACTAGGATATGTGCGACAACATCCTCCTTCATTGACATAATTATGACATCTGCTGACATGACACCACTTGTGACTGGTAATGGCTTACGGACACTTGATTTTGAATCTGACCACAGGGCTGTGGAATGTATTTTTGGTATTGATGACTGTATTGGTCGGATTAAACCGACTAGATTTGACTATGACAAAATGGATAAAGACCGATTTAACAGACTCTTGACCAGGAAACTTGACGAATGTGTACTGCCTGACAATAGAAATGTAACTGAAAGGGAGATCGATGATTGCGTTGAACTTATGGGCCAGGCCTTTAGAAACGCCATGGATCTTTCTATTCCTAAGGTTATTGTAGGACGTAAAGGGCTACTGAAACTACCTGACAATATTCTTGGCTTTATAGCGGAGAAAAAGAGACTAAGACGAATACTACACAGATGCGAGGATCCTACTCGACTCAACATATTGAAGGCTGACATACGTAATCTTGACCGGATAATTCAGGGCGCCATTGCCGAATACGAACGCGGACACTGGGAGAATTTTCTGGGTAACATACAGGTAAATGACAAGACTTTTAGGAAAATTAAGACTGCTGCTGGACTTAACAAACGCAATACGGTGAACGATTTGATTGACTTACGGGGAAATTTGACATCGGACGATAATGTGAAGGCTGATCTGCTTGCAGATCAGTTTTATAACGTACATCAACGTGGACAGAGAACGGGCACGGACGCTTTTACTGACACTGTGAGGGATAGGACTGCATCCTTAGGACAGGAGGGTCCTTTAACGGTCTTTGGAGGCAATACTCTTGCGAATGGCACTGATCCGAATGAACTTGGTTTCATTCGACCAGAGTCAATCGGAGATGCCTTGAGGAGAAGATCCAATAAAAAGTCCAGTGGATTGGATGGTATCCCAGATTATGTTTTGAAAAAAACTCGCCACAACACCTGGCGCTTTCTGGCGATACTTTTCAACCATTGTCTAAATATTGGTTATTTTCCCAAGGCATGGAAAAAGGCATTAATTGTGCCGATACTAAAACCGAAATCGGATCCTAAACAGTGCAATAGTTATCGACCGATATCCCTTTTATCACCTTTTGGGAAACTACTGGAACATTTTCTTTTGACTAAACTTACAGACGGTTTGACTGGGGATAACTCCCTCTTGGACGGACAATTTGGTTTCAGGAAGGGGCACTCTACTTCTCATGCGTTAATGGTCTTTTCTGACTATGTCACAAGGGGTCTTAACAACGGATACCCTACGATTGCTGTTAGTCTGGACTTCGAGAAAGCTTTTGACACTGCCTGGCAAGAGGGCATTGTTTGTAAGCTCTTGGATAGGGGACTCGATAGGGGATTGTGTAGGATGGTGGCTGATTTCCTTAGTAATAGGAAATTTGCCGTAGGAGTGGGAGATTCTCAATCTAGCGAGAGATCTGTAGTTGCGGGGGTACCACAGGGCTCTTTATTGGGTCCTGTACTCTACAATGTCCTCATGAGTGATATCCCCTCGCCTCCTGAGGGCGACCTTCTGCTTATATATGCAGACGATATACTCATGGCGGCATCGGGACCGAGGGCTAGGACGGTGAATGCACGGATGAATGCGTATTTGGCTGTACTCGCGGAATACTTCTCCAAATGGGGTCTTCGTCTCAATGTGAGAAAGTCGGTTGCTGTGATGATCAAGGGCCGACGTAAGTACCTGTATCCGAACAGTAGGTCATTCATTCCTTCTCTTCGGATCGGGAATGAATGGCTTCCTGTATCGGACAGGATGAAGTACCTCGGAGTGGTATTCCACGAGAATTTTGAGTTCTATCGCCACATTGACCACGTATTGGAGCGCACGAAACGTGCATACGCATCATACCGTGGGATTCTTGGCCATGGAAGGGGCCTAGATAAGAGAGTAGGTCTTCTTCTGTATAGGCAGGTAATTCGTCCTCTCATCTCCTATGCCTTTCCAGTCTGGTTCAGAATATCTTCTGCACAGATGGAAAGGCTTAGGGTATGGGAGAGACGAATATTGGTCGCATGTCTGGGACTTAGGAGGAGGCGCGGTCCGGATGGGATCTGGCGCAGGCCTTCTTGCAGATCCATATACAGGGCAATAGGCTTTGAGAGGATAGATGCGTTCATGACCAGGACGGCTATTTTATCCATGGAAAAGGCTCGTTCTTTAGAGAACAGTCTCGTCCATGGATGTTTTAGTAGGTCAAGGGATATTCAATCTGTGAGTGCGTCTCGATATATGTCCCCGGTGGACATTCTGACTCTAAAGGAAGCTGGCCTTCTTTATCAGGGTGCAAACCTACTGTTCTTCCATAGGAGAATAGGTACATTAGACCTAGTTAATGTTGTGTATAATACTGCACAATAGGCCATATGCCTTTACTTTGTAAATATCTATCTATTATCTTTTGTATATAATTATCTTCCCTAGTTTTAAGCTTTTATTTATTTAGTATAAGAATTAGTTTTAGGTTGGAGTTTGATCTCTTTTTTTCCCTTTTTTAGAGAATTTTATCTAAATGATTTAATGTAAAATGTAAAAATGTAAATGATTATTTGTCAGTAATGCTATAAATATGTACCAGTCAAATTTGATATGTCCATGGAATGTACACTAGTACGTAAGGAATAGATTTAATATAAAAGTAGTTTTAATGGAAACATGTGTAATGAAAATTTTTTGGAAATAAATGAAATGAAATGAAATGAAAAAAACTCAGTTTGTGAACAGTGTTTAAAAAGTGTTTGTGAAAAAAAAAGTGAATAATAAAAATGCCTCCTAAAACCAGTGGTAAAGCAGCAAAGAAGGCCGGTAAAGCCCAAAAGAATATTACCAAGAGTGACAAGAAAACCAAGCGTAAGCGCAAGGAATCTTATGCCATCTACATTTACAAAGTGTTGAAGCAAGTACATCCCGATACTGGTATCTCATCAAAGGCCATGAGTATCATGAACAGTTTTGTTAATGATATCTTTGAGCGTATTGCCGCTGAAGCATCTCGTTTGGCTCACTACAACAAGCGTTCAACCATCACCAGTCGGGAAATTCAAACTGCTGTCCGTCTATTGTTGCCCGGTGAATTGGCCAAGCACGCTGTCAGTGAAGGTACAAAAGCTGTCACCAAATACACTAGCTCCAAGTAAATTTTCTGCCTTGCTGTTGTCAACAAATGGTTTATATAAATAATTTCTTTAACATCAACTACAACAAAACGGCCCTTCTCAGGGCCACAAATATTTTTCAAAAAAGAGATTGGTTTTTATTGTTTTATACTTAATTATAAATTTGTTTAATAATAGCAGTTGGTTTTCTTTTTGGTGTGGAAATTTGCTTTGAAAATTCGGACATTTTGATTTTAGTTGTCTAATTCACAAACCTTTTTGTAATTTAAAGCAAGAATTGCAACCTTTTTGTGTTTTTGGTTTGTGAATTTGAAAATTGCCAACAATGTAAAAAGCAGATTTCCACTACCATAAAAACGTTAAAGAAATTGGATATGCTACACTTATTTATCCAAATAAAATGAAAATAATGATTTAATAATAATCCTAAAAATATGTGTAGCAATATTTTTGATTTTTCATATTAAAATTTGCTGTTTTGCCGACGGCATTTGAAAAATGTTCAAAAAATATTAAATTTTTTTGTTTTTCCGTCGGCATTCTACAATTTTATAATATAAATAAATGTTTTGTAAAATATTTATGTTTTTTACTTATTTTTTAGCAATAATTTTGATTTTTCATATTATAATTTGCTGTTTTGCCGACGGCATTTGAAAATTTTTCAAAAAAGATTAAAATTTTTTGTTTTGCCGTCGGCATTCTACAATTTTATAATATAAATAAATGTTTTGTAAAATATTTATGTTTTTACTTATTTTTTAGCAATATTTTTGATTTTTCATATTAAAATTTGCTGTGTTGCCGACGGCATTTGAAAAATTTTTAAAAAAATATTACAAATTTTTGTTTTGCTGTCGGCATTTTACAATTTTATAATATATAACATTTTTTTTGTAAATTATTTATGTTTTTTTATTAATTTTGCAGCAAAATTTTTGATTCTCATACTAAAATTTTCTGTTTTGCCGACGGCATGTGAAATTTAGAAACTTGAGATATTTTTAAGAATATTTTTGATTTTTCATATTAAAATTTAATATTTTGCCGACGGCATTTCGTAATTTTTCAACGATTAAAATTTTAATTTCAATTTTAGTGTTTTTTATAAAATAAACAAATATTGAAATTATTTTAGTAACTAATACAGATATTTTTGATTTTTACTTATTTTGTAGAAAATATATTGATTTTTCATATTAAAATTTGCTGTTTTGCCGACGGCATTTAAAAAAAAAAAAAAACAATTATTTAAAGAATATTTTTCTTATTAAAATGTAACGTTTTGCCGGCGGCATTTAATGATTTTTTGAAAAAAAGAAGAAGAAAAACAAAAATTTACTTTTGTTGAAGACGAACAATGAAAAAGTATTTTACCGACGGCATTTCGTTAAATTTCATTTTAAATAAATTTGTTCTATTATTTTGAATTTTCTTAACAAAATTTTCTTTATTTATGTTTTTTCTGTAAAATTTAATGAATTTTCTAAAGATTTTTACTTTTTATTTACATTTTGATAGAAAAATAATGAATTATTTACAAACTGTGCTTTGCCGACGGCATTTCATTAATTCTTGCTAAACTACTCTCAATATTATGTTTATGCTCAATACAAAAATTCACTCTCGTTTCGTGTGTTTTTGTTTTAACAAACATTCACACACACAATACAATGTTTTGTTTACTATTGATGTTACTTCTTATTTTCATTAACAAACTAGCAGAAAATATTCTTAAAAATCAAGAATTTAATAAAAAAGAATTATATTCTGTAAAATCACATCAAAAATATTGTTTTGTTTGTTATTTAATCTCTTTTTGATAAATATTTTGTAGCCCTGAAAAGGGCTTTTTAATATTATAGAAATAAATCTTTTTTTCGAATATCGAAAAATAATTTGTTCTTTGAAGAGGGGTGGAATATTTACTTCTTGGCGGCAGTCTTTTTGGCAGCTGCTTTTTTAGCTGGAGCAGCCTTTTTGGGTTTAGCAGCGACGGCACTCTTGGCTTTGGGTGCTTTTGGTTTAGTTGCTGGTGCCTTTTTTGCGGGTTTTGCCTTAACTGTACCAGTCTTTTTGGCAGTTTTTGCCTTGGCTTTTTCTGCCTTCTTCTTTTCAGCTGTCTTTTTGGTGGCAGTTGCTTTCTTAGCAGCAGGGGTAGCCTTTTTAGTAGCGGCGACCTTCTTTTTCTTATCTCCGGCAGCAGCCTTCTTTTCAGCAGCAGGCTTCTTTGCTTTTGGTTCTTTTGTAGCAGCAGCTGACAATTTGAATGAACCAGAAGCACCCTTACCTTTAGTTTGGATTAATTTTCCACTGGTTACAGCACTCTTCAAATATTTCTTGATGAATGGAGCCAATTTTTGAGCATCTACCTTATAAGTGCTGGTAAGGTATTTCTTAATGGCTGGAAGGGATGAACCACCACGTTCCTTCAATGTTTTGATGGCAGCATCTACCATTTGTTGGGTTGGTGGATGAGTAGGAACACTGGATGGTTTTTTGGCCTTGGCGCCTGCAGCTTTCTTTGCTTTTTTCTCGGCAACTGGAGCAGCTACTGGGGAAGCGGCGGTTTCAACGACAGCGGTATCAGACATGATTGTTTTTATTTGTAAAATTTAAAAAATTCACTTGAAAATAAACACTTTTTTTATAATATAAACTTTATATGCGTGAGCACAGTTAATAAGTTAAGGTACATCGTAAGTATGAGAAGTTCATAGTAGTCAATGGATGTAGATTGTTAGATTTTTAGTGCGAGCATGTATAAAATTTAACAAAAGTTTTATCATATTTTTAAGTTTTTCTTCAAGATTTTGGAAAAAATTTAAAGAATTTTTCTTAAAATTGTTAGCTTAGATATTGTAGTTTATGCTAAAATTGAGAAAATATTTTTTTCTTCATTTTGGCAATTTTTATAAGCATTTTCCTGAGAAGTTTGCTAAAAATTTCTAGTAAATTATCAAGAAAACTTGAAAATTTTCTAACAAATTTCATAAATATTCTTAAGAAAACTATTTCAGATGATACTCTTATATGTTTTCTTTATGCTAAATTAAGAAAATATAGTTTTTTTAATTTTTTCGATTTTTAAAAATTATTTTAAAATTTACTCTATGTCACCGAAAAATTCTCATATTGACAAAATTTTCAATGGTATTTTCAATTTATCCTATTGAGTGAAAAATTAAAACTAATAAATATTCCAATAAAATTGATAAATTTTTACATATATTTTATTGCATTATTTACTAAATAATTCTAAAAGTCAAATTGTTTAATATTTTTAACAGATAATCCAAAAAATGCTCATTTTACAAGCAATTTCATTTTACTCTTACTCTTTGAAATGACTCAATATAGAGATTTTATTTTTAAAGCAAATTGTTATTTATTTCTCTATTTTCATAATATTGTTGCATTATATGCAATTGTACAAATGTTTTTGAATGACTTTTTTTCAAATTGTAAATTTTATTAAGGAAAAATATACTATTTTGATAAGAATCATTATTAACTAATATAACGATGAAATTTTCTTGTTAAATTGTGTGACCTGTTTAAGTTGGTATATTTTCATGAAAATATTTCTTTGTTATTTAGTAAACAAATAAATTTACTAATTTTAATAAGAATATTTGTAATATTTGTTATTTTTGTTTACAAATTAATAAATAAATTACTTTGTATTTACGAAATCAAAATTTTATGTTTATAAGAATTTTTTTTTTTTTTTGCAAAATTTAGTAAAAAAATAACAATAATATTTAATTTTTTGCGATTTTTTCCCCATTTATTTTGAATAAAATTTCAATTGAAAATAAGAATTATAAACAAATTTTATTTACAAAATATAAACAAATTTTCAATTTTGTAAATAAACATTTCCTAACAAAAGTCATTTCAAAAACTACTTTTTCTAAAAATTTGCTAAATTAAAATAATTTTATATATTTTGTACAAATAATTCAAATTTTTATTAATATTTATTATACAAAAACATTTGCCTCTCGTTGTAAATATCAAAATATAATAAATTTTATTAAAAAAAAAAAAAAAAACAATAATTTTCTCATAAATAAAGTTTAAATTATCTATTATTTATAGAAATTTTCAATGCAATAATTATTTGACAAAAAAATATAAACAACTTTTATGATCCTAAAACAAAAACATTTTTAAAAAATATCTAATTTTGCCGACGGCAAAATGTTTTGTCAAGCCGTCGGCAATTTTTCAAAATATTTATAAAATATTTTAAAATTTAGTTGAAGAAGTAATGTTTGAACAATAAATGAAATGCTCTTTATAAAAATGTTTAATGGTTCTAAAAAGAACCGATTATTATTTCTTTTGATTGTTTTGTTTACATAAATAAAAAAAGAAAAAAAAATATCTAATCTTGCCGACGGCAAAATGTTTTGTTAAACCGTCGGCAATTTTTCAAAACAATAAATAAAATGCTCTTGCGATTATTCCTCCTTGTGTTTTGTTTACATAAATAAAAACAAAAAATAATTTAAAAAAAAAAAATTTTTAACCTATCCTAGTAAATATCTCTTTTTCATTTTTATTTTGTGGTCCTGAAAAGGACCGATTGTTGTTTTGTTAATAGACGACGAGTTGATGTTATGTATACGTCGTTGTCTGTAGTAGAAATTTAAGCACGTTCGCCACGAATACGTCTGGCCAATTGAATATCTTTTGGCATAATGGTGACACGTTTAGCATGGATGGCACACAAGTTGGTATCTTCGAAGAGACCAACCAAATAAGCTTCACTGGCTTCTTGCAAAGCCATAACAGCAGAGCTCTGGAAACGCAAATCAGTTTTGAAATCTTGAGCAATTTCACGAACCAAACGTTGGAAGGGCAATTTGCGGATCAACAATTCAGTACTCTTTTGATAACGACGAATTTCACGCAAAGCTACTGTACCAGGGCGATAACGATGAGGTTTCTTAACACCACCGGTAGCTGGTGCACTTTTACGAGCAGCCTTAGTAGCCAATTGTTTACGAGGTGCTTTGCCACCAGTCGATTTACGGGCAGTTTGCTTAGTACGAGCCATTATTATTACTTTTTTTTCACTTCACTTTTTAAAAATCACTTTAACACTGTTCACACACGAATATTTTTGTTTCGCCGATGGTACCGGGTTTATATAGAAAAATTTTGTATTGAAAATATAAGGGTGAGTGTGTGTGTTGCATTTAGTGGTGGTTGATTATACTAAATTTTAGACGCACACACGAAAAAGAATAGTATAGCATGATATTTCTGATACATTCTAATTTTAGTTGAATTTGGTATAAATACCAGTGGTTAGGAGGCGAAAATTATTAACTGTGACGGGGACAAGTCACGTGCTTTGTTGGGTATGTTGATGACCTTAGGACAGAATGACTAGGACAATGAAGATCATTTTCATTAATGTTAATTCGATTGTCTCTAGACATCGAAGACATTATTTGAATTTGTTCTTGAGGGAGCATAAACCGGACGTTGTATTGTTGGCTGAGCACCTTTTAAGTGCTCACCATAGATTTTCCCTAAGGGGGTATGATATATACAGACAGGACAGACAAATTGGACATGGTCGTGGTACGGCTGTTCTCGTGAGGGATACCTTTCAATCTGGGGAGGTCGTTCTCGATACAGGTTCTGTGGAGAATACCGCCGTGAGGATACGGAAGGTGAACGGTGATTACATCACTGTGATCTCAATGTATCTTCGACCGGGTATTACTCTGAGTGCTGGGGACTTTGACTCTATACTGGACTTGGCAAGGGATGGCAGTGTTGTGATTGGTACAGATCTCAATGCAAGACATCCCTATTGGGGGGATCCTCATACGAACGCGAGCGGTCGTGCCCTTCGCGACTTTTTACTTACATGTCCTGATATGGACATACATAGGACTAATGGACCAACTCACGTGAACGACGTATTATCATCATACATTGACTTTTTTGTGACTTCTGTTGACGTTATGACGGTAAATAACGGCGGACTTAATACATTGGATTACGAATCTGACCATAAGGCTGTGGAGATGAATATCTTTGTAGGTGACTGTGTGTCGCGGGAACAATCTTCGAGATTCGACTATGACCGAATGGACGTACGGAAATTTAGGACTACACTTGCCGTCAATCTTATTGACTGTAGGTTGCCCGTTGACCGTAATGTTTCTGAGGGCGAGATCGATGAGTGCATCGGGGCGATGAATAGGGCATTTGTAGATGCCATGGACCAATCGGTTCCTAAAGTTTCCATGCGGAGTAGGGGCATGATGAAACTTCCGCCGAATATTTTGCACTTTATTGACAGCAAGAAGAGACTCAGACGGACACTGAGGACATGTGGCGATCCGGGTAGATGTAATATCCTGCGGGCGGAGATACGGAACTTGGACAGGATAATACAGGGTTCAATAGCTGTCTTTGAGAGGGATTATTGGACGGATTTCTTAGGCCGGATTCGCCATAATAACAGGACCTACAGGAACATTAAGACTGCGGCAGGTGTGAATGCTCGACCTAGTGTTAGGAGTTTGGTGGATGCTCAGGGAAGGACCATCTCGGATGATCTCGGGAAAGCAAATCTGCTAGCGGATTGCTTTTTCCGAGTGAATCAGACTGGACAAGTGGGACGTTTTGGGCCGATTGGTTCAACGGTCGAGGGCATGGTTTCCTCATTGGACAGAGTGACACCTTTGACTACATTTTGTGACAATTTTACTGCTGACGGGAGGAATGTTGACGCTACTAGGACGTTTGAGGGACTGACATTTATCGACTCTGGCCACTCCACTTCTCATGCCTTGATGGTATTTGCTGATTATGTGGCGAGAGGTCTCAATAGGAGATGTCCGACGATGGCAGTTAGCTTGGACTTTGCCAAGGCTTTTGATACCGTCTGGCAGGATGGCATATTGTACAAGATGATGGGTATGAGATTTGGGGCTGGTCTTTGCCGAATGGTTGCCAGCTTTCTGAAGAACCGTACGTATAGAGTTAGGGTGGGGGAGGTCTTATCGGACGAAGGATCTATTACTGCGGGTGTGCCGCAGGGGTCTTTGCTTGGCCCAGTGTTGTATAATATATTTATGTCTGATATACCTCAACCACCTGAGGGTCACTTACTTTTGATTTATGCTGACGATATTCTTGTTGCCTCTTCGGGGGCTAGTGCACGGACGGTGAATGGAAGACTGAATGACTATTTAGGATTACTTTCGGACTATTTTTCGATATGGGGACTGAACTTGAATATGGGTAAGACTGTGTGTATGATGATAAAGGGTAGACGCAAGTATATTTTTCCTAACTGTAGGTCATATATACCATCGTTGACCATAGGCGGTCAGCTTATCAGTGTCTCTGATAGGTTGAAGTATCTCGGGGTCATCTTTCACGAGAATTTCGAATATTATCGTCATATTGACAATATTCTGGTGAAGGCGAAGAGAATGTTCTCTACCTATCAGGGTATACTGAAGCGCAAGGGTGGTCTTGACAGAAGGTTGAGACTCTTGGTGTATAAGCAGGTAATTCGCCCACTCATCTCCTATGCTTTTCCGGCTTGGTTTGGAATTTCCTCATCTCAGATGGAGAGGCTTAGGAGATGGGAGCGGGGTGTGCTGGTCGCTTGTCTGGGTTT